CAGCCCCGAGGGGCACGCGCGCCCCGGGCACAACGCGAGCGGCGCGCGGGACTAACGCGCCTCCGGCAACGCAAGGTGCTTCCTCCCGAGCGTAGTCCCTTCTCGTCCGAACAGCTCGGAGACCGATGAGCCTACGCAATAAGTACCATGATCCGGGACCGTTTTGGGGATCAGGACCCAGGTTGGAGCAGATAGCCGTCACGGATTCGGCAGCCGTAGCGAAACACTGTCCAAGGATGCTAAATTATTTAGTGGAGAGACAAATGTTTATTAAATCCAGACTGGCTCCTCCACTCCCACACGATCCCGAGTTTTGTGCATTGCCTGAGCTACTCCACAAATTAATGGTCTGACTCACGACATTACAGACAATCCAGAGGAAGCTGCTGCCAGTTCAGGTCTAATTTAGCAGAGAATAATGTCTTCCACCGAACTCCTCTATAATTCACGGACGCCTGCCTCCCCTCTCGCTCTTATCTAACGTTTGATCTCCTCGCTCATGACAACAGCTGTCTGGAAAACTCTTCTGAGGTAGCAGAGATTTCGTCAACTTCCATATTTCTTTCATGTTGCATGAGCTTATGCACTTAACGTTCCCGGCTGGAATATTTCATCGCTCTCAAATCGCTCCCCTGAATCGCAGCCAGAAGCGGCTGGAAGAGTCCTCCACCCGCAGCGGCCAAGTGGGTTACAACGCTGTTTTCTTCAACGGCACCGAAGCTCGGGTTTGTCTTGAGGTCCCTCACGCCATGAGGAGCAGGAGGGCTAGATGCCCCTGGTCCTCCTCCTCCTCCTCGGCGCTTGGCTGCTCCCAGTGGTGCTGCCCTTGGAAGGCGCCGGGCTCCGAGCTTCCCGCTGGCGGCGGGGCCAGCCACTGCCCCCTGCTTAGGGCGATTACCACCAGCAACGCGCCCCACGCTGCACGGCCAAACAGAACGACCCCGACCTACGGGACTCCAGCTGTAAGCGGTTGGGAAACGGGGAGCAGGAGAAGGCAGAAGAAGGATCTCCCACCGCAACGCGTGCTCTCCCCATCTCCCTCGCTTTCCCCGGCTTCGTTAACGCTCTTGAACGTTTCCACGTCTCGAAAGCCGATGCTCTGGCGAGGCTCCAGCACCGTTCCTGGATGCTCCCCAGTCCAGGAATCCACTGTTGCTCCGTGTGTGTTTTCTTTGGGCTCGGCGCATGCGTGCACCTCCGTTGGCCGCGAGCCGCAGGCTGCCACCGGCACGGAGAGCCGCCCGGGCG